GGTGACGCGATTAATGGCGCATTTCGTATGTCCGAACATGGGGGACGGAATCTCCCATTTTTGATTCATCTTCCGTCTTAGGCATTGGTCGCCCGTACGTATAAGTCGTTCACCGAGGGGACCGCCAAGGGAGACCTTGGGTGGGCCGTTTGTTCGTACACAATTCCCGGAGAAGCCTTCCAAATGCTCCAGTTAATCCCATCACATTGGTTATGACAAGACCCAAGGGTGGAATGTCGATTTAAGCCCTGTTTTGCTGGTTCCCCTGTTCCACGCAGCATGCCGTTCAATGCGCGCGTCGAATTCCACTGCAGAATATCCCGAATACGACCATGAAGGTCGTTTGATTACTCCCATGGTCCTTCCCGATGTAGAAACCCCTCTGGTGTTTTCGCCAACCGCTGGGGCGGATTCGCCGGTGTATTCGATGAATCGCATGCCCATGGGTGGCCCAGGTCCGTTGTTATAATTGCCGGAAGATTTCCTCGGGTAACTGATCCATGGTTTATCCCCTTCTTCTCAGTTCCTCCATTGTATACTTCGATAATTTCCCTATCGTGCCCGTTCGTGACGCCGATGGATTCTTCAGCAGCAATTAACCCCCCCCCCAACCCCTTCCCGTTCTAGCCTTCCCCAGAAATTCCCGAACTCGACTTATGCTTGATTCCTTCCTTCCCCATGCAACTTCTTCTTCGCACTCTTTCCGTTAGCGATGCCCTCCACCTCCCATTTCCCCAGCTAGTCTTGCGGACTACTGGACGGATGATTATAAACGTGTGAAGATGCCGTTTGTAGCCCGCGTTCCCGTCTATCGTGTGTGCTGACGATTGTTGATTTTAACAGGGAATTCCTGTATTTTTGTATGGGGCACATTTCAATGTCCGTCTTCAGGGTGATCAAGCCCGTCCTCGAATATTTCGTAGCACCCATGTCGTAATTTTGATCGTAAGTCATTGGACGGGTGTGCACCCCTATCCGTTCCGTTTATAGCAACCGTCCCTCGAGTATTCCAAGTGTCTTTCATTTGATAAATCGCCGATCCCGCATCCGTATTTAAGTCGCGCTGCAGTAGCCGAAATTTTGCAATTCTAATTCCCCCATTCGGGGTTCCTCGGCTTCCTGCCGCTGACCATGCCGACCCCGGCCTGCTCGACCCTCCGTCCTCGCACGGTTGTCCATCAAACCTGATCCACGGAACCAATTTTCGAAGCGGAAACAAATTCTCGAACCCTGGCTTTCATTATTGTTGCGCGTCCTTCCCTCATCTTCCTTGCTCCCCAGTGGTTCCCAGGGTCGATACCTCCCCAGAGATTTCTCCCAGGACCTTGTGATCGGTTGTTGTCGCGCATTTGGACGTCCTGTCTAGTTCCCCGTTTTCATACCTGCCACTTCACCCCTCTGAGTATTCCCCCCCATTACAACCCAGACTCCTCAACTCTTGATTCCCTCATCACGTTGCTCAACCATGCCCCTTTCGTCAACCGATTCCTCTCGTCCCAGGCGCTCTCCGCATCCAACCACCTCGGCCCCGTCCTCAACTCGTATTTGCCAGTCTGTTGGCTCCTTCCTTCCCCAGTCGGCGGAGGACGTGGACGTCCCTCAGGCGGACCTCATGCGTGGCCCTAATCCCTTTGTGGCCCCCCCCGTATCTTCTTCGGCTACCCTACCGTCCCTCACCACCCCCCGTCCTTCCACCTTGGATGTCTTTCGAGCCCCCCCGCACGTCTTTGTTCGCCGTGTGATCCGCTGCCTTCCCCCGGTCCCCACCCATAACAATCTCTGGAAGCACTTCCAACGCCTTTACGCCGAGCGGGAGTGGGTGGTTGCCCAGATCAACTTTATCGAGTCGGAGGAATACACCATTCCTTGGCCTGATCTACCGCCGCCTCCCGATGACTCCATGCTCGAACCCCCTCCCTTTCGTAGTTTCGATAGACTGCCCCCTGCTCGTCCCGCCCTAGCCGATATCACCCCCGATCTGTCTCTTGCCGAGGCGGACACTATCATGAGGGAAAATAACGCGCTCACGGACGCCTACCAGTCATCCCGCGACGAGTACAACACGGCCGTCTTCAATCACATCCGCGACCGTACCGTGTTCGAGACCACGGAGAAGGAGAGACAGGAGAAGGAATTCCACCGCCTTCTGCTGGAGTGGCAAGCCTTGGAGGCCGAGCGCGAGACGGAATACGATCGGCTATGTCGGGAGAACAAGACTCTCCGCCAGTACCTTGCCGAGCTCGAGGCTGCGCGCATTGAGACCTCCTTCCGCTACGAGCAGTACCTCTCCCACCTCGAGGATCAGAAAATAGCTCGGGAGATGTTGCTGGACCAGGCGAAAAACCTGGTAGACCTTAACCGTGTTCGGATGTCGCTGGGCGATCCCCAGCCACTTGACCCCAGATTCCTTTCCGCGATGGAATTCCTTTCGCAGTGGCGCGATGCCCAGGACGGGGTCCTTCGACCATTCCCTTTCGACAATCCCCCCCCCCTCCTTGCTTTCCTCCCCAACCTCTCCCTTCCGCCGGTCAACCCGCGAATGCCGTCCTGTCCGCAGCCGGTCCCTCGACTTGTTCGCACCCGGTTGCAGGCCCATCCCGTTTGTCTCGCCCCGAGTCCGGCCTCAAGACGAAGAAGCGAAAGAAGCACCCCGCTGTCGACACCAGCGCCGCCTCTCCTTCTTCGAAGAAGCGCCGCCTAACCGCCGAAGAGGAAATGTCGCTCGTCCAGGGGAGGATTGACCGGTTCACCAACAGATTTGCCGCCAAGAGAGAGGCCTGGAACCCGATTGTCGTCATTGCAAGGAGCGAGCCCGGGTACCTAAAGATTGGTCCGGTATGTCCTTAATCTCTTCCTCCCATAGTTTCCTCGGCTTAAGCGCCAAATCTTCCTTTTCAGGGATGTACGCGGTACGCAGAACGCAAGATACCGTGCATTGCCCTCACCGATGAGCGCGTTCGGTCGTGCGTGTCCTGTTTCCGTGTTCACGTCAAGTGCGTCGAACATGATGACGGCCCAGCAGAGTGCTCGGGGGAGTTTGTGGAGTTATGGAATCGTGAGTTGCGAATACATCTTCTTTTTCTCCCCGTCCCCCTTTTACCAACTTGTGCCTTCCCAGGGTTCTTGGATTTATTGGAGGCCGTCGCCCCCATTATCACGAATCGATCCGAGTTCGCTGGGGAACAAGACCAGGGAGACCTAGATGCTTCCGATGATGAAGGCGACGAACTGCCGCTGAGGAAGTCGAAGGGGAAGGGTCGTTTGATCCGACCCAAATCTCCCTCACCACCTCCTCCCGAATCCGAGGACGACAACGGGGACAACAACGACAACAACGAGAGGGGGGCTGCCGTTGCCCCTCCCCCAATCCGTCTGTTAACGATCAAAGTTCCGCAGCACCCCCACTCCCCTCCACCATATACCGAACTCCCGCTTTCGCCAAGCTTTCACGTCGAAGAACCCCCGTATAATCTGGCGCCCCCATTCGACCCCTCACCCTTTCATTCCCGCCCCCAGCATCTCAGTAATCCCACCCGGCTCATTCCTCGTGCTTACGCCGACCCCAACACCGTGGTCCATCTTCCTTTGAGGGAGGTGCTCGGCCGAGTACGGGAATTTCCCCGGCTTCCCATTGTGGAGGCCTGTGACGAAGAGGAAGCGTTCAGGAGGCTGGTGGCCCGTCTGTATTATATACAGTGGTGCCACCTTGACCTCGAATGATTCATATATTTCTGCATGGGAGGACGATTCTGGGTGGAGTATGTGAGTGCCATCCATCCGTCTTGCGCCGATTCCTCGCGCTATCGCATGGCCCGATCCAAGGATGGCCGTCTACGACTAATGCCCATTTCACCTCCCATTCCTGGCCAGGATTTGTGGTGGCAGACCACGGCATCGAACCTTCACCCCAAAATGCTCATGAATCCCGACGGCCCTTATTACGGTTTCATGGACGGTCTCGCCCATCCTGGTCAATATCGGGAGTTCGTTCCTGAACCACACGAATGGAGCCCGACGGAGCTTTTTCGGACCTTTCCCGTTCTTCCTCGGCCTCCTCTGGTAAGTTCTCCTGCGTCCGCCTTCCCCTTTGCCGTTACCAGTTCTCAACGATGCGTGCACTTTCTCCCAGGGAACTCCCCCCCCCCTCCAGCAGCCAGGCAATCTCAATACCCGAGACAGTTTCGCCACGCCCCCTTCGTCCAGCCAGCCCATCTGTCCCTCCCGTTGTCGTGCACCGAACTTCCTCGCCCGATGCCGCCGATTGCCTGCGCTCTTTGAGCCTGGACCCTGCTCGTCCTTCTTCCATTCGAAGATCCATATCTCCAATCGAGTACTTCGATGAGTGCCCCCTCAAAATGGAGCCCATTCCCGAGGAGAACGCAGACGCAGTGCTGAATGACGTGGATGAGGTGGATGGGTCGCAACGGGGGAAGTAGTGCTACCATTCGTACAATCGAACAATGTTTTCTCCTTTGCCATGCGTATAATCCATCTGACCTGTAAAATATTAACCACCTTTTCTTCTGTTCTAAGTCGTTTCCGTGTACTGATGAAGGAAAACCCCCCCCTCCCCTCTTTTTTACGAAACGGGCAGGTGTGCCGATTAGATTAGATATCGGTCCTTGATATCCGTTATCCGTGTGATCGGACCTGTCAAGGAAGCACCTATTATGGACATGCCGAATGGCTACGCCCCCGCCCTTGATTCTAGAACGGAAATCCCGCCCCCTCGTGCTCCGGTCTGACAGACGAGCGGACAAGCTTCGGGGACCTCCTACAATACCGCCTTCGCCTCAAACAGCGTGTATGACGTCCGAAATAATAACGGCTTCATAGTCCAGTGGATATGATACTCCCTGCATGTGCATTTGCGGGGAGAGGCGCGTTCGACCTGCACTGAAGCCATTCTGCGGAATTCTTCACCATCCCACTCGTGGGATGGGAAGAATTCTGTAGGAGACCTCTTTTTCTTTCCCTGTTTATTACTCCTGAGCAATAATGGCCTCGTAGCCCAGTGGTTATGGCGCTCCCCACACATGCCGCTTTAGATTGATGTCGTATGGGAGTAACACACGTTCGACTTGCGTCGAGGCCATTCTGTCTCTGGTTCCACTCAGTCCCACAGGTGGGACTGGGAGGAACCAGGCGGAAGACATTTTTCTCCATCCTGTTTACAATTGCGCCATCCGTTTTCATATTCGTCCCCGACGCGAACCCGTCTCCCCGCACCGAACCACCCACCCCCGGACAGAGGAGCACTCCTCCATACTTTGGTGATTTTAAAACCCCTTCCCTGTCGGTATCCGTCCTCGTTCGTACGTCCATATAAAATTGACCGAATATTGATACGATTGGTGGGGCATTACGAGTCCCTTGTTCGGATTAGTACTGTCCCATAGCTTAACGGTAAGGCGCTCCCTATCTGTTGCATTTATACGGGGGGATATGCGTTCGAACCGCGTTGGGACCATTACATGCCACATTCCATGTGATCCCACTGGGATCATCTGGAATGGGCTGTAAGCACCTTTTTACGCCGTCTCTGCGAGTCCCGTCATCATTTTTCTCGTATCCGTTGTTGATACCCGACCGTTGAACGTTGTGGAGAGATGATTGTTCCGTTCCTGAACTCTGCTCCTCCATACTTTGGTGATTTGGACCTCTTCGTCGATATCCGTTCTTATTTTCGTGTGTCAAGGAGGAAAGTTAATTCGATGGTGGTGTACGGGCATCCTTCAAGGACGTCCCATTGTGTCGTGTCTGTTTCGGTAGTAGTACCTCCGTAAAACGGGGCGCCCGTCCTGCTCTGGTTTGGGCTTTATGTGGTTAATATATTGTTTAAGTTCCATGTTCCACATGGCAGAATATATGGAGGACGGGTCCTCCATACTTTGGTGATTCGAGCCTGGTTCGACCCTTCTCTGTGGTATAGAAGAACCCTTTCTGTCCTAGTAGGCTGAATTTTCACAGATTTGACTCCGAACGTGGTGATCCCGTTCAATTCCCGTTCTCCTGCCCCCGTCATTTCCTCCCTTTCCTGAGTACTTGATGTTCGTCTCATCTCTTATTGCGCAAAGAATCACAAAGTTTTCAACGAAAGAGGGGCAAACGGGTATATTTTGAGCAGGGGGAGAACATATAGTAGATCGATTCGCCAATAGGGCCCATATCGAGTCGGAGAAGAAAGCATAGATCATTGATTAAATATCGTCCGTTTTCGCAGTGTGTTAGTTCGTCGGGTGGGCCTGCCCTTCCCATTCAAGAAGTCCGTCGTCACCCCACGTTGGTTCCTTTTCTAACCGCTTCTTCACCGTCTCCAGTTCTTCAAGTATCTTCATGACTGGGATCCGTACATTGGATCGGGGAAAGTATGGCAGGAGTCTGAAGGCCGCAAACGGGTCCTGTGCTGGTGTTCCGTCTAATTCTGCCAAGATATAAGCTCCGCCTTTGTTTCGACGGACGACTATCATAGGGCCAAAGTACTGTGGCTTGCTTTTCTTCGTCAATGCGTGTTCCACCTTGGAGTTCTTGACTATAACAAGGGTCCCGGGTTCGAAATCGAAGTCAACAATCTTTCCTTCGTTATCCTTCTCCCATTGACGGATGGACTTAACGTGAGATTCATACACCTGGGAGCGGATGAGCTCCAATTCTTCGGGTCTCTTCGCTAATCTGAGAGCTCTTTGAGCAATCATTTGATCCCTCGTAAGAAGCCCGTCGACGATTGGTGCCATATACGTAACTTCGGTAATGTCGAACGGGAAAAGGGGTTCCACTCCATGTGCCATATAGTATGGCGAGCGTCCTGTGGCTTTGCTGATAGAGACTCTCTCCGCCCAAAACACGTAAAATATGTGTTGAGTCCATAGATTCATATTGCTCTCGCAGGCCTTAACCAGGGCTTCGCGCACGGGATGATGCCTCCGTTCAATAACGCCTTGGCCTGCCGAGTTATAACCCAAGATGCGAATGTGGTTTATGTTGAAGTGCTTGGAGAGCCAATCTACCACCTTAATCCATGGAGCCCCGTTGTCCGTTGAGATTTCCTCGATGGCGCCCCATCTACAAAGTATTTCTTCAAAGAGGAAAGACCCGACGGAATACGCGTCTTCCGTTACCATCATTCTCCATTCTGGCCAGCTCGTTATAGAGCATCTGCCGTGGGCGACCGTTCGGAAGCCATTATGTCGTGGTAGGAACATCGTATCCGCGTATACTTTGCGAAAGAGTGATAATGGCATGGTGACTGTTGGAGGAATGAGGATCTGCTGCGTAGCGCGAAGTTGACATTCATGGCATGAATTCAAGTACCATCTAAGGTCTTGATCCATCATGGGCCAGTAAAAACGATCCGTCAGGCGCTTCCTGCATATGAAATAGGCCTTGTGTCCGAGTTCGTCGTGTATTTGACGCAAGATCCTGTATCGTTTATCAGGAGTCACGACAATTTTATGTTCACTGCGTGGGTCCTTCTTCCAGAGAATCTGATCCTTCATGAAGTATTCCCTTACCCGTCTAAGGTATTTCGAGTATTCATGATCCTCTATATCCTCGGGACGGACAGGGTTGTTGAAGAAACCTCGAATATTGCCTAGAAGGGCGTCCGCTTTGATGGCTTTCGGTTGACGGGGAATCTTTTCCTGCCCTTCACCCATTTGCACCGCGAAGACGGAAACAGTGTACTGGGAACTATTCCCGCCATAAGTCGAATAGGAATTTTCCTCCGTCCTCGCGAACGGGTTCAAGGTGAGATGGTTTTGCATGTTATTGAAGGCGGAAACCCGCTGTGTCTGGGTCTGATCCCAATTAATTGCAACAATGGCGAAACCACAAGCTTTGTCGATCCAATCCTCGGGGTCTTCCTCGTCAATCGGGTCTTCTGGCGCCCCTGGCCTGCGTGACAATCCATCTGGCGCATGCGTAATTCCAGGCGTGTGTTGTAGTTCAAAATCGAAGAGCATTATTGCCGAAATCCACCTATTAATCGTCGCATTGGGTTGAACATCGGGATTATTGAGCATCCCTTTTATATATTTGGCGTCCGTTCTAACCAGAAGGTCTTTTACCCCAACGAGAAAAATCCTATAGGCTCGAAGTGCTCAGAAGAGGCCATAGAGTTCAATCTTGGCTTGAGAATAACGGTGAAACGGTGCACCCAAGTATAGTCATGAAAAGTATAATCTCAAGATATGTGCAAGACGCACACAAAATGAACTACACCCAACACACACACACTACTACTTGACTATATTGGTGCTTCTATAACTAGGGTCCTCTCAATCAGAATTGAGTAAGATGAACCGTAGACAGTTGCAATAAATGACTATAGATCTAATTGTGCCCTTTGGAATAATCACGAGTATTACTCGAGAATCTTGACTAAAGTCTCTCACAAGAGAAACACTATCTTTGGGGTGTTTGGATGGAATGAAACACAGTCGCGAGTGTACTTGAACAACTCCGACAACTTAAGCCACACTTGGACTGAACTTTAGGTCACTTGAGACCGTCTTAGACTTTACTTCTTTGGTACTTAGACTGCAACCGAACTCAAAGGAACGATATCAACAGCTATCCTCTGTCTTGACACTTAGTCGCAACTCTTAAAGGACCACTTCGGTACAGACTTGACTGTTTCTTATGACTTTCTTATTCAGCTTACTTTGCTGGGACTTTGGTTATCAAACAACTATGTTCTGGTTCTATATATATCTTTGCTAAAAGTAGTACAACTTCGAAATGTGTTTAAACAAATCTCCGCGTAAAACCCAGATGTGCACTGACCCCGTGACCCACAACCAATGACGACAATAGTCACGGCTATAGTAGCTGGGAGGAAAATACAGTCCAGAATCGCGTTATTCTACTGAGACTTTATACTAATTTACAATCTATTTTAGTACATGCCAGAGATCACACTCTCGGAGCTCGCCCGAAGGTCTGTTTTGGTAGTCACGACTCTTCCATTATTCATGACTGTTTATCTGTGCCTGAGAGTTACTATTTCTCATACGACTCGGAGTCATGACTATTATCTTTAGTCACAACAAGACTATATTGGCCCAAAATCCCCGCTAGAGGTCTATGATCTTTGTGTAGCAGTGTTTAAATAAATATAGATATTCATACAATCTCCTTGGTATGGTTTCTAGTGATCCTGCGTGATACCGCCCTCACATATGAGTTCTGGCCACTATCAGACGACTACTCACGACTAACTCGCTGAACACTGTACTGACCCCACATTGTTTAGAGTATCGTATACAGTCACAGTATGGTCAATTCTTTGTATTCCATCACATCTTTGAGACTCAATCAGCAGCTCGGAGCTTACTCTGACTCTAATTGTGTACCACCGAGCGGTAAGATGATCGGTTTAGACTGAGTTTCGCCAAATTGTAAGCGTGTTTTCATTTCAGCTGTCTCAACGGGCTTCGCGATCATTCCAGGTTATCGAGCCGAAACGGGACGGATATTCAATCCTGTCTTCGCCTACTTGGAAAAGGATGAAGCCCCCTGCGATGTAGGATGAGTCGACAGATAAGATAACCCTTCGACCCGATGAGTAGTCAATGCTGCGGATTGCTGGTGATTCAATGAGAATCTTCTTGAGCATCTCCATCGCGTATTTCTGCCTGGGACCAAATATAAATTCCATATCTTTCCTGGTTAATTCCTGCAAGGGTTTGGCATGAATGGCGAAGTCCTTCATGAAAATTCTCATAAGACCAAGCGTCCCTAGGAACGCCCTGACTTCTGTGAGGGTTTCACAATCCGGCCAGTTGCGAATGACTTGTACTTTTCGATTCGTCAGGGGATCGTCCTAAGATGGAGCATACATGCCCAACAATCTTCACCCGTGGAACCGCAATGAAGGTTTTTCGGGCGTTGAATGTTCTGTGAGCGTGGTTGATGCGATGAGAGATTCTGTTGACATTCTCAAGATGTTCCCAGACGAATCTCCGTATCCCGGGATTCAATGCAATGCATTCGAAAGTCCCATCCTCGTCCTGGTAATATGTAGTTCCTCCTTTGCACGGGGTATCGTCTACGAACGGCTGGGTTATGTCGGGTATCTCATCCTGTAGAATGAAGGAAACATCGCCTTGCTGGATTTGGACGGAGTTCATGTATCCTTGCGGAAGGCGAGTAAGACGGAGCGTTCCAAGCGGACTCTGGAACGTAGTGAAGTCCCTTGAAGCTATGTCCAGGATTCTATGGTCGAATCCGATGAAGAGATCGAACATGCCGTATATTACTCGCCCACCGAAGGATTCCGCGTACAATTCCAGTATAGGCGGGCATCCCGCGTCCTTGATAGTGACTTTATTAAGGGGTTTCAAATTATGTACCAGCCGGAGAGAAGTTCCTTGATTTTTGTCGACGCAGAACCAACTTGAGCAGTAGGATGAAGTGGAGGGTTCGTATACCCCCAAGGCAATTTTAGCTTTAATGATATCCACTACTTTG